ATCATCCCCCGCAATGGAGAAATACCTAGCTCGACGCTCCACTGCGTGATCGTCTTAGCATCTACTAGTCCCACGACGAAGCCTCATTGGGACATGGCACAGGGGACAGGGGTTGTTGGATCGCCCCCCGAGTCGTGTATCTCTTTGGCATCTGCATCTCTTCCTCCCTCCCTGTCCCTTTCTCCAAATATTGTATCTGATCCTGGCACAGGGGGGTTTTTTCTTTTTCTTTTTTTTTCTTGTTCTTCCTTTTCTCCTTCACTCTCACTCGTCTTCATACTTCTCGACATCTCGCCTGTCATACGGCATCTCTCTTCCTACTCCGAACTCCTCAAATCGTTCATCTTCGTGTGTATCACAGCCCCCGACGTGCCGTACTCACCCATCTATTCTCATTTTCTGAGAGTGCTTCTCAACTACCACCGTCCTCCTTCTAGGGTATTATATCCCGCCACCCGCCAACCTTCACAAGTTCACAACAATGGCGGCTCCCACGGAGATGGCTCATGCACAAGTGCCTCCCTCCACGGCATCAGTCTCAGATGCTGCATCAGACCCAAAGATGTCCAAACTTCCCGCCAAAATTCGCAAACGTGCCCCCAAGGCTTGTTTGTCCTGCCGAGCCCGCAAGGTCCGTTGTGACGTCTCACAACGGGGAAGGCCTTGCATGAACTGCTATCTCGACAGCGAGACATGTGTTGTCACCGGCCGCGCCTCCAGATTGTGAGCATTCATTCATTCTTATTGCCTGCCTTCCAAGTTCTTACCACATGCATCTTTCCTTACTCACTTCCTTGTCCGAATATGCCTATGCTAACCACCGTCAACCCTCGTCAACAGTAGGAGAGCGCAGCGTGAAGGGGCCGAGAACGTGCAGGCCTCCTATCCGCCTTACTCCTCAACGGCCGCCCCCTCGGGCATCTCGGCCGAGACCGTCGTCAAGTCGCGTCTGGATGGTCAGCCCATTCCCCTGGCCTCACCACCGGCTCGGCATAATATCATCGAGGCTTCTCGTGACCAACCTCCGGCCCAACCAGTCGCCCAACCGCCAGCAGCAGCAGCAGCACCACCACCACCACCACCACCACCACCACCACCACCACCACCGCGAGCGGGGTTTCGCCAGGCGGGAGATGCTCCTTTCACCCACCTATCGGGGACCACGGAGCAACGGTCAGAGACGCCTGATGCGAGCCACTCCTCATGTAACCAGAGACAAGATCACGATCAGGACCGTCATGCTAAACCCGCCGACACCTTCAGGATACCTTCACGAGCGGGTGCTGGCGCCTCAGCTGCCTCTTCCTCTACCCCTTTCGCATCAACCTCTTTCCCGACCTCCAACACCCCGCTTTCATTCAACCCTCAATCCTCTTCCCAGTGGGCGACAAACAGCCACAACAATAACAACAGCGATGACCGGTCCACCAACAATCTGGCTCTCAACTCAGACATTACCTACTCCTATTATCCTTTCCTTGCCATCGGGAACCTCCCCAACATCCCCGCCCAGGACGTAAATTACCTCGAGCTCCAGGGCTGCTTGCGAGTCCCGACCCGGCCCATCCTCGACGAATTTGTCCAGCAGTACTTCCTCCACGTCCACCCGCTTCTCCCTATGCTCAACGAGGGAGATTTCTGGGACATGTACTGCGGCCCTGCCCCCTCCACTGAGAAGATGTCCCTCCTCCTCTTCCAGTCTATGCTCTTCGCATCATGTAACGTAAGTCTTGCAGGGCTTTCCGTCTCATGGAAAGACGCTTCGCTTCGCCTTCCGTTTCCACTTCTGCCAAGTTTCTCTTCTAACAAACATGCCCCAGTTCGTCTCCCGCAACTCCATCAAAGCCCTGGGCTACCCTTCCATCCGCGCAGCTCGTGCCGCCCTCTATCGCCGCGCCAAGCTCCTCCACGATCTCGACACGGAACCCTCGCCCCTCGCCATCTCCCAGTCCGCCCTGCTCCTCTCCTTCTGGTCTCCCCCAGCGACCCCGGGTCTCCGGAAGCCCAACGCGGCCTGGCTCTCCATAGCCATCCAGCACGCCAAGACGGCCGAAGCGCACCACTACGCGTCTTTTGCCCCCTCAGCCGCCGCAGGCGTTTCCGACGGCTCCCCTTCCCCTTGCGCCTCCTCCTCTTCCGCCTCCCCGCCGCCGAACCAGCATGCGCAGTCTCACAGCTCATACTACAACAACGGCCAACAACAGCAACAACAACAGCAGCATCATCATCAACGGCAATCGCGCCATCAAAACCATCAACAACAACGACAACAGGCGCAACAACAGAAACAACAGCAGCAAGACCGCCAATACGCCCTGGCCGCGAAGAAGCAAAACACCCTCAAGCGGCTCTGGTGGTGCTGCATCATCCGCGACCGCGTCATGGGCCTCGGCATGCGCCGCCCCCTGCACCTGACCCGAGCCCACTTCGACCCGGACGCCGCCCCCAACTGCCCGGCCCTGGGCGTCCCGGACCTCGCCGACGAGATCTCCCGCTCGCGCGTCTACCCTCCCGCGACGAAACGCTGCCTGGCGGAGGTGCTCGAGCAGCTGGTCGAGCTCTGCGTCGTCCTCACCGACGTGCTTGTCCTCGTTTTCCCCCTCGACGACAGTCCCGGCTGGGGCCGCGAGATGCGAGCCGAGGAGAGGGCCCGTGTCCGTGACTGCAAGATTGCCCTGCGACGCTGGTATAAGGATGCCACGCTGCGCTTCCCCATGTGTGGAGGGGGTACTGCGAGCAGGAATGCCGGAGGTGGGAGTGGAGGTGGGAGTGGAAGAGGGTCCGAGTTTCAGCACGACTCGGTTATCCTCTACACCAACCTCATGTATATGTATTACCAGTACGTTTACCCTATTGTCCTCCCTGCATCTCTTTGCCATCTCTCTCTCTCTCTCTCTACTCGAATGCAAAGGAGACGGAAAACAAAAGACGGGTTCGACTAACACACATCGTTTCTCAGCTCCTCCCGCGTTGTTCTCAGTCACCACGAAGTCCTTCACCTAGCTCTCACGGCCTCCGCCCCATCCTTCGACACAATCCCCACGCGCGACCTGGCCATCATAGGCGAGAACCGCCACGAGCTACAGGACGCCGCCTCGGGCGTGACCGAATGTCTAAAAGAGCTCATCCAGCTCCGCCTGGCCCGCTGGCTCCCCATCAGCGCCGTCGCCTGCACCGCCCTACCTCTCGTCCTCCACATCCTCGACGTCAAGCTGTCCGCCCCGTCCACGCCCTTCTCCAGGCAGCAACCTTCCTCGTCCGGCGTCGACCCCAACACCCCATCGGCCGTCAAACAACACCGCCTCAACATCCTCATCGAAGCCATGAAGACCTACCAGCCTCAGTACGACGGCGTGGACCAGGTCTCGGAGACGATCCGCCACATCGTCAACCTCGCCCAGCTCGACCTGCCCCCGACGTCCCCGTCCCGCCCCATCTCGGACTGGACCGACATCCTTGCGTCCCAGCCGTCCTCGTACCTCCGCCTCGCCCTGACCATGGACCTTTCGCTCTCCAAGGGCCGGCTCCCCGAGGATCGGGACTTTCCTGTTAGTCTTCGCGGCCTGTTCACGGGCGGGTTCAACCCGCTGCGGAGTCTCCTGGAGAACAAGAAGCGTCTGGATGACCAGTATGCTGCCGGGGCGGGCGCCATGGGCGTGAACACGGACTTGAACATGAACATGGGCATGGGCATGGGCATGGGCATGGATGGGCCATCCTACGTCGATACCTCCGGGCACGCCCACTCCTTCTTAGGCCCCATGGACACGACGGGAGCCACCACCAACATGTCCATGCTCCACGCCGTGGACTTTGACAGCGGCACGCTGCGCCCCTCCCTGTTCAACCTGCAACCCGGGACGGTGACGGCCATTCCGTCAGACGAGGACACGGATTCGCCGGGTTCGGCGCGGGACAACAGTCCCGCGGGCATGATGGACGAACTGTCGCCCAAGCAGCAGGCCCATCACAGCAACACATGCAATCACAGCAATAACCACAGCGGCGGCGGCATGGACGTCGACATGGACGCCGACATGCGGCGGATGCACATCCACCAGAACCAGAACCAGAACCAGCAGCCACGGCCCCCGTCCGAGGGCATCGCGGGTCTCTCGTCCGAACATGAAGTGCTCGCCGCGTCGTTTGCGCTCCACGACGATCCGTCCCCCCACGCCGGGGGCGGGTTCGACGGCATGTACCTGGACGGCGCGGACCACGAAGGCGCGGAGGCGGAGCAGGATGCGGGCGACTGGATGGAGAAGGCGTGGGAGGAAATAGGACAGGCGGTGGAGGAGAACAAGGCTGACCGGGACTCGGCGAGGGCTTTGATGGAGGCGTTGAGGGACGGGGATATTAGTGAGGCGGTGGCGGTGGCGGCGACGGGGGGGTGTTAGTTGATAATGTTCGGGGCGACCCTTGTCAGATCATGGGTTAACATGGTTTCGATGATTGTATTCATGGATGCATCGAAAATGGGCCGATTAGGAAAGTCATGGCGAATCTGATAATATTTTGCAAGTATATCCGTGTGGCAGGGAGAGAGAGAGAGAGAGAACACTACTATCGAGTCTTTATATGCCCGCTCACCACCTCACCACCCCATACTCACGCGCAAGGAAGCTCCGGTAAGCGCCTTCGCACCCCCCACAGCAACAATCAAAGCCGTACTTCTCCTTGAGTATATCCGGGTCCTTCCCATAGGTGATGGTCAGCTCCTCGCCGGCCTTGACCACCACGGCGGAGACGGTAAAGACCATCACTTTCGCATTGCGGTCGTAGCAGTACTTGACGTTGCACTTGGGATGGCAGGCGTGGTTGAAGCGCGAGGCGACAGGGAAAAGACCATCGCCTCTTCCATCCCCCGGACATGCAAAGCTGACGAGGAGAACAAGTCAGTCACAAAGAACTCTTCAGGAAAAGCTACAAGAGACTTACTTGTTGGTGTGCCATGCCGAGAGCACTCGGGCCTCAAGAGACGAGTTGGCAGCAGGCTTGTAGGCATGCAGATCGAGGACAATTTGCCTTTCCACGTCGTCGAGGCCGTTGAACACCTCCATGAGGTTACAGTCGTAGGCATGGATCACGGCTTGTTCCATCAGGATGTGGTCCCCTTTGAAGAGATCCCTGACGGCAAAGGCACCCCACCCCTTGCCGGGAGAATTCCTGATCTCGAAGAAATCGTTGGCAAAGAGGCAACCGTCTGGTTCGATGGTGGAGAGGAGTGATGGTCTGGGAGATAAGCCGATGGTCAACCTCGCTGGTCCAAGCATTGTGTGAACAATAGGTTGGGGTTTAAATGGATCCATGCTGGACTCTTGGGGGATCTCGGAATCTGTATCAGGGGTCGTCGGCCCTGTAAGTTGACTTTGGAGGGTCAACCTGCTCATGCCTATATCCTCCCATTCATGCTGGCCCGCAAACATTGTGTTGATGTTGCTGCTGCTGCCGTTGCTCTTGCTGTTGTTACGCATGTCGCTGTACTGGCTTCCCGCTTCTGATATAGTAGGCATCTCAGACAAGGACACTGCCAGAACATTCTCTTGAGATACCGTGTTCACCCAGCTCCTCAGGTCAAGATGTTGAGGTTTATGGTGAAGCGGAAGCACCGAGTCCATCGTGTCGTCCACTTCTGATGGTGTTTTGATACTGGAGAAAGGATGGAGCAGCGCATCGACGTTGAGAGATCCGCATAAGAGGCTCACTTGAGTACGGCTACGGAGCCCCATTGCATTATCATCTACGATTATCCAATGAAATTAGTTCTCCCGCATGCCGGCTTTTCATATGTTGTTGGGAGTGAATACATGTACCTTTTGCTTTCTGCAGAGGCCCATATAGGTCATCCATTATGGCTTATTGATTATCGATGGATATTTGAATCACCACCGGAAGAAGATGTTAACAAGCTCGCAGAATCCAAGTTGTTTTTTATTCTTTTTCTGGAACTTAAATAGTCGCAAGACCCGACAACTATGGGTAAGAGCTGGTGATATGGCTCGTGACCAAGTTCAAAGATAGCCATAAAAGGGGAAAGAAGCAGTTATACCTAGAACCTAGAACCTAGAACCTAGAGGGTAGCAAAGTAGTTGTGTCAAATAAAGAATGATCATGCAGTCAGTAGCAAGGCGAGAGTGTATTTTGTATATTGAATTAGGCAGAGCATGGCTTATATGGTCTGACTCTCTTTCCCCTGTTATTCTTGCCGCTATGGTTATTCTTGTTGTTGTTGTCGTTGTTGTTTGTCATTCTTTCAGTGATTAGGTCACAAGAGTCGCCGAAATCCAGCAAGAGGTATAAATATAGCAAGCAATAGCTGGTAAGGTTGCTTCCTGGGAAGTCTGGTCCGTTTTGCATTAAAGGAAGAGCTGTTATGACACAGGAAACTGCCCATATCACCTGGGACTAAAAGGTGGGGGAGAGGAGAACTACATTAACACTCATATACAAGGACCGTCAAGTCAAACACATGTAGTTGAAGAAGAATCAGAAGTTGCGGAAGATAAAAGAAGGCATGTGGGTGTTCTCTTTCCCCTTTTATTCTGGACTAGGAGACAAGAAGGATGTCTTGTGTCTTGTGTCTTCTTTCTTTCTTTTTTTTTTTTGCCTCTTCAAAAACAGTAGGCAGATGGAAGGCAAATCGTTACATCTCATGAGTTGTAGCTTCTATAGCCACAGGCATCGCGAGGCAAATACCACCAAATTCAGTACAAAACTGGAACCTCGTCCCCAAGCTCCTTATCCTTCCCTTCGTCCATATAAGGCTGGAACGACTTGGCCGTATCGACAATGCACTGGGGAAAAGGGATATAGTCCTGCCCAGACAGCTGGACAAACCGGCTCCCGTCCGTCCCGACCTCCTCAGCACCCCAAGTGACATAATCAGCAGGGTATCCCTCGCCAGGCTCGCCCTGCCGAATGGCATCCCGTCGCTCGGGGAGCTTTTCGCGAAGACCATCAGCGTAGGCCTGGAAATTGATTCTGTAGGCGCTAAGGAGCAGCCGCTGGGAGGCGGCACGGTCGGGTTGCTGGACGGCGAAGACCAGCGCGCGCGCCACGTCGCGGACGTCGACGAAAGCGGGGAACGGGAAGTCGGCGGGCCAGGGGCCACCAGCGACCACGTGCCAAGCGGAGCGGACGCTGGCGGGCAAGGCGGTGGGATCGCGCGGCCGGACGACGACGGGACCGATGACGAAAGATGGGCTGACGACGGTGCCGGCGAAGGCGGACGACGAGGAGCGGTCCGGACCGTCCGGCTGCTGGCCGACAAAGTCAAAGAAGGCCTGCTCGATGGCGGCCTTGATGGCGGTGTACACCAGTCCCGGATTGGGCTTCGCAGCGCGCTGGATGGCCATGTCGATGTATTGAGTGTTGACGGACTCGTCGCCGGTGTACCGGTAGCCCGGGTCCTGTTTAAAGCGCATTATGGCGGCAAGGGACGAAAGAAGCACCACGCTCTTCAGCTGCGGACCGGCCCGGGACTGCGCGGCGCGGAGGAGGTTGGTCATGCCGTCGCGGACTTGCGGTATGATGATGTTGGGGTCCGTGGTGGTGTCCTCCGAGCGCATGCCGGGGGCTGCGACGTGGGCGATGCCGTGAACGCCGCGGACGACATGATCCCAGGCGTCGGGGGCGAAGAAGTCGGAAACTTCGACGAGTTGGAGGGTGCCAGCTTCAATATAGGAAGAGAATGCCTCGACAAGGGCGGGCTTGTAGGTGGAAAGGGAACGAACGGTTCCTCGTACGCGGTAGCCTGCGGCGAGGAACTGCAGAACAGCCGCAGACCCGATGTAGCCGTTGATGCCAGTCACAAGGACGAGGGGGGAATCATTGGTAGCCATGATTGCGGGGTATTGGGTACCTAAGAATAAGGACCAGAGGGTTTGGGAGAGTCGGAGGTTAGAACGTCGGGGAAGACCAGGCACTGGAGATGTGGAGGAAAGGGGGATACGGGGAAGATAAAGGACAGGAGTGGAAGGAGAGATAAGCAGGTCAGGTATCTTATATATCTATTCCTGGACATGTAACCCTCTTATGTCAACCTTGTACAAGTTGGATGGAAGGATTTGCTCCAGCCAAGAGAAGAATATGCCTCTTTCGAAACGGTCGTCAACGTCGACTCAACGACTCAACGCGTGGCAGGATTCCAGTTTATTTCAAAGGCATGTTGCTCGGCGGCGCTATGGAAGAACTAGAGCCCTATTTGCCTCGTAAAATAAGTATATGGACAACGTCTTGAGTGAATTTTGTGTGAACTCGGGAGGGGTGTTGTGGTAAAGGATCAGGTGACTGACGTCTTGTAAGCTGACTTCCTGATTTATGTCAGCTTCCTGCCTTATTAGGAATCCCAAGACCCGAGACTCGCGGTTCCATTGGCTTACATATCGCGTGTTGGGCAGAAATTTCACCCCGCATACGACAAAACCGTGTAAGACCATTGGCTTAAGAGGATGGCGGACAAAGCTGGAATGACTAAGGCAAGGTACACAGAGGCGTTGGTACTTAAGACATTTACTTCGTTTAAGCTGGTACATACGACCATACCCACCGGAAAACTCGGGATCCCGTCCGCTCTCCCCTAGATAAGCCAGTGAGGGCCGGATTAGTAGTTGGGTCGGTGACGACCAGCGAATACCCGGTGTTGTATGTTTTTTGGGTTTTTTTGCCTCTCATTTTCTCCTTTCGTCATTACAGTCAGTCAGTACAAGCTTCTATCAAGTGCGCACAAAGGCACCGAACGATCAAGGCGTGTCTGTCTATCGCTTCTTCCTATTCCTTCTTTTTTTCCCCCGATAAAGCCGAGATGTACAAAACTAAACACGGAGCAGTCCGAGACGGCATTGCATGATTGATCCTGTCCCCAAACGAGCCACTGTACCGAGGTACTGCCGCATGCTTACTAAGGTAACGCCGACCAAAACACAATTCTCCCATGTTTTCTCTCTCTTTTCTCAGCCAACTTTGTCGCACGACCCAGGTCGCTCCATTTCCCGAATTCATACCCTTCACCTATCGTTTCACCTGATCTGGTCTCTCTTCAAAGCCGACCAAAGACTTCTTGCAAAAACCTATCTTGTCTCAAATGGGCGACCAAAGACAAAACATTGAAAACACTTCCACTGCCCCTCCCACTTTATTTACCATTACCACGCCCTCGGCGACAGCGTACTCTGCTTTATCTGTCCGAGGTCGGTGAGTGTATCCACTCAGACGTGGTGATAATCATCACGACTCGACTCGGTACAGATGTTCGTTTAAGTTAGTAGGGACTCTTTTCTCATTAGGCACTCCCGCGTGCTCGGTACGACCCTCTTTTCTCGGCCTCTACATCCCCGAAAAGAAATAAAGAAGAGCACCTCCACTGAGACTAGCCATGATGTGACTGGCCTAGAAGTTCGGTTCGTTCGGCCTTTTGTCCTTTTGTCGGCGCTTCGCGGTCCCAGCAGTCTGGGTCGTCACACAACCACAGTCTCCCGTCGAGTAGGAACCTTTGTCTATTGTCGGAGAAGGCGATAACACACGGCACACAGGCCACAGGCCGCCAGGCCCGCCTACATACGCATACAACGTACGTTGTAGAGCTCGTCACACGCATTGACCACTTTCCTCCCAGGTATCTCTCAGTTTGCTCTCAGGTTGCTCTCAGGTTTGTCAGCATGCTCCCTATATGTACGTTGTACGGAGCTCTACAACGGACGGAGTTAGGCTGCTCCTTATGATCCCCCAGTCTCGTCTCCCCATTCTCCCTCTTTCGGCCCCCCATGCACATTATTCACAACTGCTGCGGCGCATCGCACATCCCCCATCGCACATCCCCCGTGCCCAACAAACCCCCCCACCTTGCTCCCCCCCCCCCCCTTTCCACTCCGGATGTGCTCCGCGGAGGAACCACACTTCAACCCCCAGCTCGCAGTGATTGCTCCTCACATGATCTGGAACTCCAGTTCCAACTCTTCGGTTCTCCGGCTTTCTCCAGACCCCAATGCAAAACGAGGACATCAGGCATAATCATTGTCATTTATGATGGACAAGCACAAAGTACGAGACAATGGATTTCCATTATGCCATGCCATGCCGGCATCCCCCGTTTCTTTTACCGTGCGAATTCTTTACTTTGTTTTTCTTTCGCCCTCGAGTTCTCCCTGGGCCCCCGTGCGATAGCATGTTCAGATCGGCCGCAGCTGCAGAAATCTTGCTTGGCCCTTGGACAAATCGGCTTGGCAGACAGTTGGTGCCTGGCTTGTACAACCGCACCACAAACTACGAAGGTATGATGTATGCAAGGGTTGAAGCAAAATGCGACCTACTCCGTGTCCGTGTCTGGACTTATTCGAGAACCTACAAAGGTCGGGCGGAGTGCAGAGTGCAAGTGCAGAGTGCAGCGTGCAGCGTACAGAGGCGGCCGCACAAATCAGCCCAATGGCCGGAGACCAAACCCGCAGGCCGCGCATCTGGCGGTTGGCGGTTGGGCGGCTAGGAGGACTCGCTCGACTAGAGCATTCGCCTCCGTCGTCCCGTCGTAACGATGGACGATGGACGATGGACGATGGACGATGGACGATGGACGATGAGCAATTCACACGCACGCTATTCGTCCTATTCGTTGTCGGCATCCTGGGATTCTCCGAACGTCAATGCTCAAGCTACGAACGTGGCCCTTTATGCCCTATGGGGCACATTATTAGTCCGCCTCACTTCCTATCCGTGCCTCGCCCACTGATCAACAAAACTACGGGGCACGTACAACATATGTACTCGATCACGGTGACTAGCAGCCGAACCACAACCCCTGTCAAAGCAACGAAGCAAGGAGATGCCTTGTACGCACGTTTTCTCTTCTGCCCATCTTCCCTCTATCCTCCCCATGCCCTCCACTTCCTCCACCCACCACTTATCAACAGGACGGACCAGAAGGAGACAACCATCTCCACACGCGGGAGCCGTGAGCCTGCTTCCGGAAAGAGTAATCAGCCTATTTGGTACCCAATGAGATACACCCATCTCCAGGAATATCGTCGCCTCGTCGGCTGCAGGTTGGCCCGACGAGGTCGCCCATCGGCCCATCGCCCATCGCCCATCACCCATCATCATCACTACCCTACCACCCCACGCCCAACGCCCAGCAGCGTAGCCATGTCACGCCCCGGCAACATCATGCGAGTTGTGTCATTACCAGCGCCACCGAGGGCTAAATCCTAACTAGTGACTCGCAACCCTCAAAGGCCGTTGTCCTAATCCGGCTCGACAAACTGGCCTTGACCTGGTTTGACCTCCTCCTTTTCCCCTACAAATGTACGTTCATGCGGTTTGCAACCCGCCTCGCACATCGTTGCATCGGGGTTTGGCGCATCGGACATCGGGGTTTGCAGCTCAGCCCCGTCTTTTCCCGCTTCACCATCGACACTGGCTAGCCTGGACTAGGCCATGGGGCCCCCCTCAGACCCCGTTGCTCGTTGCTCGTTGCTTGGAGCTAACCTATCCTATCCTAACCTAACCCTTCGCGCACCACTCGGTCTCTACAACCTATTCAAAGAGACCATGCTAAGGGATCGGCCGCCGCAAGACCAGGATGTAAACCGATTTATCCAAACAACCCCGGCCCATGTCGCTGTCTATCTGTACGAAGGACATCCCCGAGGAGCATAGGACATGGAAGTTTAACTCCGGTTTGACAATCCATCTGCAACTGGCTGACGTCCTCTACTTTCTCGTGGCGATGGTAGTTGAGGTATTCGTAGTCTGAACGAGATTTTTAAAAGCATTACATCTTCGTCGTCTTCCCATGCTCTATCTACCATTCATCTACTCCATCACTACTACTCTCTGCGCAGGTTTTGGCCACGCTCCATCAGACGAATCGAAATTGTGAACCTCGGCTTCTCGCCATTGACTAACAACTCTCTCCCCACCTCCACAAGGAAGGCCCTCTACCTCCATCTCTCTCGCTCTCTGCTCCGTCCGCCGAGTCTCTCAATCCCCAATCTCGCCCACCCACAAAACCACCATGGCTATCGACCCCCAAACACGTATCGCTCGACCTCCACCTAAACCGGCTGCATCAGCCAAGGAAACCGCCACATCAGCCACCGAAGCCGAATCAACCAACGAACAACAACAACAACAACAACAACTACAACAACAAGAACCACCACCTCAACCCCCTCCCTCCCCCTCCCAGCGCTTCTTCCGCCCCGCCTCCGCCGACCCCCCACGCCCCCCCTCCTCCTGGCAACGAAAAGCCGCCGTCCTCGAAGCCGAAATCCGCTCCAAAAACTGCAACAAGATGGGCTGCCAGCTCCTCTGCTACCGCATGCGCCCCGCCGCCTGCTTCGAGGTCGACCAGGCCCAGACCGCCATCCTGTTCCCCGACGGCCAGCTGCGCCGCGACCCCGACCCGCGCGCCCGCGTGCCCCCGCCCGCCCTCCGCTTCAACCTGCCCCTTTTCTGCATCGAGTGCGGCGTGCGCACCCGCTTCTACGCCCCCGGCGACCAGATCCGCACTCGCTCCCACGAGGAGCTGTGGATGTGCGGCTGCGGCCACTTGCGCCGCAAGACGGACCGCTACGAGTCCCGCTTGTGCGGCGAGTGTGGCGATACGTGCCTTAGCGCTGCGGTGTCGAGTCGGCGGAAGCGGAGGAGGGTGACGCCGCCGGAGGATCTGTAAAAATAAAAAATAAACATAAAAATAAAGGAGGAAAGAATTTTTTTTTGAATTGGAGCTGGAGCGAACGTCCCGGATTCGGGCGTCCCAGGGCGGGTGTTTATATTACTACTTAACTGACAATGATCAGCAGCGGAACACAGGACGCTTTTGAAAACGGCTGCAGACAATGTGTGTTCTTTGGTTTGGTTCGGGTTTGCTTTTTTTCAGAATAGTTTCAAAGGACTCGCGTCCAGACAGGATAGTTTACATCGATACCCCCTTAATCTAAGCCAAGTCGCGTTGAATTTCAACATGAAGTGCCGAAAAGTCGAAAAGTCGAAAAGTCGAATCACGTGCCTCAAGATGAATGTGGTCGGGTGGAAATGTGCGGGCGTCCGTCGTCGGTATCGAAACCTGTTGTCTAGAACAATCCCCATCGTGAACAGATGCTTGACAAACTAAAAGACAGCTATTTTGGCGTGGAGAATGCAAAATACCATCGGTCGCATTGTGCAAGATTTGCCCTTTGCAAATCACAAGAAGATAAAGAATAGGCGCGCGGTAATAACCACTCTACCTTACAGAGGGGAGAGTAAAGCAGAGTAAAGCAGAGTAACCAAAAATAATTATAATTATAATAACAAAAGACAAGGAGCTTCTTTGTTGGAACTAGAGTGAGGAAATAAGATTGAATGGACGAGGTTCATCTTCAAAGAACCGCCCTGATTCTGCTCAAGGCGCCGAGAACCACTCATTCCACCCAGGCAGTGGGGGAGTCGTTTCATGCAACCAGGCAAAGCGCTTAACACTGCATCGTAAAATCGTATGTAATATGCGACCTGCCGCGACGAAATCAACAATCAAGCAAACAATTCCCGCACAAGCTAGAGCCAGCTAGAGCCAGCTAAAAGCCAGCGACGCCTAATAAATGAGAAGGGATTCCAGTGTCGGGGCCAACTTACATGAGATACCGTCTGCCGCTACCATCGCCCACAGCTGACCACCAACACAAGACACAAAGCAAGACACGGAGGTATTGGGGATTGATCCCGAGGACAACCCTGGGATAGGGGGAGGGGGGACAGTAAAAGTCCTATTATCCTCACCTGCATCGCTTTCTTCACGACTCTTCTGGCTTCGCCTCCCAGTCGAATCCTCCTTGGTGGCTTCTTCTCGGTTTCTCGTGGCACCATGTCATTCCCCAATGTGTGCAAAAACCCACCCACCGGGCCTGTGCCTTGCGATGCGGGCGTCGCCGGCACTGGTGTAAGCGCATCCCTCTCCGATACAAGAGAATCAAAAAGTCCAAAAGCTAACCAATCTCTCACAGGTCCTGTTGTCGTTCTTCTTCACGGCCGGCCTCGCCCTCATCCTGAGTCTCACAATCATCCTATCCGAGTTCAAGGGCAAGCCGTCCAACATCCGCCGCCGACTTCTCAGCAGCTACTCGGACCAGCAGATCCTCCTGGGCATCGGCATCCACGCAGTCGGTCTGGCCAAGTGGCGATCTATGATCACATATCATTTCTTCATCGTCTGGTGCCTGGGCCTGCTGGCCCAAACCGTCCACAACGCGACGTTGCTCTCCCTCGTCCACGACTTTCGGCGCGACTGGGTGCTGCGGTGGTTGCGCCAGTTCCTCATGTTCGTCAACATGGCGCTCTCCGTCGTCTACGGCGTCTTCATCCTCCGCGCCGTCGAGCGGGGCCTGACCGACGACCCGGTCCCCATCGGCTGCGTCTGGGAAGCCGGCATCAGCGGCAGCGGCGCCACCCGCAGCGGCCTGAGCTACTTCGGCACCATCGCCGTCATGGCCGCCAACGTGGTGGTCTTTTTCCTGGCCAGCTGGTACCTGCACGCCCGCACGCAGCGCTTCGCCAAGCCGGTCAAGCTGGTGGGCACGCTGCTCATGGGGGCGCTCGCCACCGGGGCCATCGTGCGTTGCCTCTTCGCGTCCGACGCGCTCGGCCACGGGCCTAGCTTTCCCTTGGAGGCGGGCGAGAAGGAGTGGAGCTTCGGGCAGCTGCTCTCCGTCATCGTCCTCCTATTCCCCCTGGTGTCCACCGTGGAGATTCTCCGGGGTGAGCTCCTGGCGGCACCTTGCGACTTGACCGATGGTAAGGGATTTGTTGAGGACACGGAGATGAATCGGTTCTAGACGAGCCACGCCTGGAGTTTGTGAGCCCGATCTTTTGTGGTAATAGCAACAGAGCTGAAGGAGGTATTGGAACTTGTTTGCGAGTCACGTCTGAGCAAGGGAGAAGCACAACAAAAAAAACAAAAAAAGAATGTTTGGGAAGCGAGGAACTTTATGATACCCTATACAGATAACGCGGTTGTTGGTCATGGCATTCCACTTTATTGTTCACTTTCGGGCTCAGAACAGACCCAACAATCCCGCGTTGGCAGTTCGGAGCCATGATATTTTCCTTGATTTTCGGTTTTGCATTAGGTACAAGTGTCTGCTTTCTGCATTTAGCAACTTTGGCTGTTTCCTGGGACTCAAAATGACGAAAGAGTGTGCATGCCCAACGGAGGGTTGCGACAAAGCCTGATGAGCGAGCGTTTGCAGGAGAACAAGTTGAGCACTAAAATAGAGAAAGGGAGACAGAAGCGTAAATAAGTGCGAAGAATTGGACTGTCAAATATTCGTCCACTACCTTAGTTGGACATGTTCGCGTATATTAGGAGGCCAAGCCTTATAGCTATCCCCGTTCTGGACGATTAGGCATATATATCGATAGTATGTAGTCTGTTCTACCGAAAGCCGCAGGGCAGACTGTTTCAACTTCTAAAAATAGTAATTATAAATTATTACATTCACCCGGACCGTAGACCTTTTTTACCTTATAGCATAATTTGTATATAGATATAGGGAGATATAATTAACCGGGGTATTAGAGTATATATAAAAAGGGCCCTTATACAGTCCTGTATATATCTACATAACGATAGCAGAAATTTCTCAGAAAATATATCTACACTAACCGTTATATAAGAGCCTGCATAATAACGCCCGCGGCAGTCCTTATCTGCCTAAAGCTAAAGGTCTATTATATAATCCTTTTTAATACTAATCCCGACTAAGTAGTATGCTCGACTTATAAAGCACCCCGGTTCGAAACTTTATAGGTTAAAAAAGAGTTAACGGACCCCTATACCGACGAATCCGTTATTAACCTAACCGGAGATACTCCCCCACGACTAAAGCAGGAGTATACGGAATCGACTAAGGCAGTTTACGTACCGGGGGCCGTCGCCTAGGCGTAGGTATAAGGCAGAACGCTTATTACTGTATTTTAAACCGGTAAAGCGTAGCATAGGGCTAGTATCTAATTAACCCGATAAGAACAGTAGCCGAAGACTATAAAAGAGATTAGTATCGGCCTATATAGCGTCGAGTTCTATATATAAGATATTGGTGGCGTAGATATCTTCAAGTATATAAAAATCGGTGGATAAAAAATTACCGGCCGCGTTACGATTTTACTAGACTAGACTTTCCCGACCCACTAAGACCTTATACGCTATATTATTAGCTAGTTTATCCCTAAGATATCTTCTTATTAGTTTAAGCAGGACCTTACCCTATTTCTATATAACGCGAAGAATCCGAAAAACATTATCTTCTTCCGATATAAGGCATATAACACTATAACGCTCCGTGTGTTTCTACGCGAATCAGGTCTTAGTCTAATACAGGAGTATTACCTTACCTTCCTCCGGAAGACCTAGGTGCCCGTACTAAAGGCAATCTCTAGTAAGCGTATAAAGCAAAATAACGATAAGGAAGAGGTACTAATCGCTATAAAGAAGGAAGTTAGAAAGGGTCCGCGCGTAAAGAGGCAGGCAGGAAAGGGTAAAGGGAAATAAGTAGTAAAGGTAAAGGTTAAGACTAAGCCGGTAACGTTTACTAAGCCGTAGGCGAAGGTTAAGACCGAGATAGTAGATTACACCGACGCGTAGTCGGAGGTTAAGACCGATATAGTAGATTATACCGATATATAGGGTTATATAGAAGAGGAGGATAAAGGCACGGAGGAGTAGGAGGAGGCGGGTAAAAGTAAGGTGCCACCACTAATAATAGATCTTCGCGGCCGGAAACGTATATTTTCGATTAGTACCGATATAAAGCCTTAGAATTAATTACTACTCTCGCTTTCTATATCCGAAAAGTCTATAGTCCTGTTAGTCTCCGTAATAGCTTATTCTATATTTAGACCCTCCTTTTCGAGTAGGTCCTTTATCGCGGTAATACTACTACGCGGTGCGGGTAATAAGACTAGCGGGGGCTCCGTCCTCGCGGTAATATAGGTATATAAGCCGTTCCGTATATAACTATAAAGTGGTAGAGTAGGGTACTTTTTACCCTATATAGTTAGTAACTCTTAGAGACCCTTTATAGTCTGCTTTATCGCCGAGTATATCGCTATCACGTCCGCCGGCAGATACGCGTTAAGCTACAATAGGTCTTCCGTAAGAAGCGTTTCTAGTGTACGGAGCCGTATAGGATCTAGCCGAACTTGAAAGTTCTATTCGGCCTAGTGATAAAGTACCTATAGCTTACCCGTAATAATATAAGGTCTAGATAGTTATACGCGGATCCGGTAGTTATTATAGACTTAAATAAATCGTATAAAGTCTAAACGTATAAGCGGTATATACACATAAAGTAGTGTAATATGGTTAGCGATTAAACGGTTATCGAAAAGATCGTTTTCGGATAGGTAGATAAAGTACTCCTAAAGATATATTAGTAAAAGGTAAAATAACGATAGTAAATAGTTTTACTTACCCTTTAGTGTACCGAACGGGACTAGCAGAGTCTATTCCACTAAGCCTTAATCCGTTAATTATAGATACTCTTTCTAAATACCTAGTAGTCTTTAAACTTAATCGGAACCTCCTCTCCGGCTACGTTCTTTGTTATACGAGTCTATATAGATATATACTAGTACGCACCGGCGAGTAAGGTTATCTTTTTACCCCGGTCGGATCGAATAAACCGCGGGATAAATCCAGTCTTACGTATAACGTTAATATACTACGTAAAGATATTCCTAGTAGTATACGCCAAGACGCCTACGTAAGACTAAGTTATAAATCGGGTATACGTATCGATACCGGTATAAATCTCGAAGCCGAAAGGAAGAAGCTTATCGTACGTATCTATAGACTAAAAGAAATTCGGTCCCGGCGTTATTCAGCCCTTTCTTCGGTACCGTATCTCCTTTAAACGCGCTATAACCTCTTTAGGGAAGAGTTCCGAATAGGTACGGTAAAAAGTATAGCGGCTAATTATATAGCCCTTCTATCGTATAAATATATAGAGCTATATAGCGCCGAGCCCACGTGTAAAGGAGGCCTTAAGGTCTTCGCGTTTAAAGAATTCTCGTATCTTAGCTTTCGCCTCCTCAATACGGGGCGTATCTTACCGCCGCTATAACTTATTACGTCTACGAATATCTTTAAGCCCGTATTTCGATATCTGGAAGCCTTCGGTCTATAGCTATCGTAGTAGCTCGGCGTTATTTAGGTTTTCGAAGAAGAGCTCGTGTACGCGTCGAATAAGATCCGTGGATATTACTATACGTGTTTCGCGAGAAAGACCCCAGGCCTTATAACGCCGCTATAACGTTATACGGCTAATTAATATACCTGTTTTCTATCGTATATAGTCGTAAATCGAGTCGTCGGTAAAGCCCTATTCCTAGCGGCGATAGACCTCCTCGCGAAGAGGTTTAAGATCCTATCGTCTACCTCGTATATCGGTGGTATTATATACAGTTCTGTACAGAGAGGTAAGGTAAGTATACGTATAATATTAATAAGAAAAGTTTCATAAAGTTAGATTAAATAAGCAGAGAAGTATAATAAGTATAATAAGTATAATAATATATTATTTACAGTGTAGCTAATACTAGTTATATGTATTAAGTCCAATCTAATAATAGTATAGCTATACTCTATATATATAGTAAGAATATAAAAATAATAATCTAAGTAATATAAATATATTCTTTTTATATATATTCTTATATCTTCTTTATTATATTAATTATATTAAGTATAGAATAAGAAGTATTATATAGCCTTATATATAGAATAGTATAGCGTAATATATATATATATATATATATATTACGCTATACTATTCGATATATTAGTCTATAAATACATTACTAAATCTAAGGATTTAGATATAGTATACTATAGCCTATAGCCAATATTTAAGACCTATAGTAGTAATAATAAGATATTTAGTATAGAGTAGTATATAGCTTATAAAGAGGTTTTAGTCTATAAATATATTTAAGCTTTATTAATCTTATCGTATATTAAAATAACACGTATATAATTAGTCTAATAAAGAAAAATATATATATATATTATATTAAGTTATATCTATATAAGTCTCTTATTTCTTTAATTTAAATAGTATAGACTCTATTATAGGTACTGTATTACTTAGCTTCTATCTAGGTATTCTTAATATCTACTCTTATTATATTCTAATTCCCGAGATCTGAAGCCCTAAATTACGTATAAATCCCGTAAAGACCGTATTATAGTCCCGTAACTATACGATACACCCCCTTATTTAAGATACGTCTTCTTAGTTTAACTAAGTAATTAAAGGCTTTAGTTTAAACTAAACGCCTATAAACTTTTCTATTATAAAAATAATTATTAAGAGAAAACGCCCTTATAAAAAGGATATAAATCTACTCTATTTAAACGTTTAATTTAAATCTATTTTAATTAGTTTGCTTTTAATTAGCCCCGATCGGCTTAATTAGCTCTATATCTATTAGGTTAACTATGATTTTAGTAGGTATTATTATTATTATCACTATCGCTACTATAGTCTTATAGTATTGTTATAAATACTTCCTTTTTAAGGCTTATATTAACAAATACGTTAATAGTATTATACTACCTTATCTTTAGGTTAAACTAGGGAGTAATAGCTATTAATAGACAGAATAACTATAAGGCTAATATTATAGTATATATATCTTTTAGTTTTAATCGCTTTTATTAATCTTCTTATACTATAAAGTATACTTTATATTTAGTAAGAATTTCTTTTTTATTAAACTTGGATATATATATATATATATATATAGGTAAGGACTTATATTTATTAGCCTAATATAGACTTACCTCTCTTAGGAGTCTATTTACTAATACCTTTTAAGGTACTCCCATATAGTCTATAACCACCGCTCTTATAATAGTTAAAGGTATATATTATAGTAGTAGTTATATAAAGGTAGGAGAGTATCGCGGGTTAAATATAATAGTAGCTAAGAGATATTAAAAAGAGAGGACTTTTTAGTGCTAATATTATCGGTATTATTAATAGCTTACTTCCTTATATATATAGAGTTATATATTCTTTTAACGCTAAAGAACGCCTTTTATATATTATTATTCTATACCTTCTTAGTTATATAAAGACTTATAATAGATAAGCGCGTAGGTAATAAGCGTATAGCTAATAGGCACCCCTTAAAGATACCCGTGGCTAACTATTATTAGTTATTATTTT